CTGTTCCTACCCATGCAGCAGAAGCTGCCCACGCGTGTTTAGACCCCATGACCTTGCCTAGTCTGACATCACCCAGAGTCCTCAAGAAGGGGCTCCTACTCCCCTTGAAGCCAGATCCTTCACAGGGTCCTCCACCTACCCTGTTCTCCTCAGCATCACTGATTTCACTCTTCTTTGCACCAGGTCTACCGACCCGGCGTGAGGACCATGTGGTAAGTAAGTACTTCAGGCCTAGAAGCCATGAATCTTAGTCACCACCACGGGTGACACATCAACCAAGAGGCATGGCTACTCCAATAAGCTTCATCTACAGAACTCTGGCAACTGGACACGGACTATAGGTCGTGGCAATCCCATTTGTAGCACAAAAGGCAGAGCTCTCACCTTAAATAACAGATGCTTCTTCTGGAGCCATCTGAGAGACCATGGTCCAGCAACACAGATTTAGGTTGCTCCAAATTCCACGTTCCAAAGTGAAAGCAGTTTCATGAAGTTTTGTAGCTTTACAGAATAACGACAGCCATAAATGACGCAAGTGTAAAACTCTTTGGTGAGTTTATCAGAGGGGCCTTTACAGCAAGGTGGACAAAGCTTTTCTATGGGCCTCAGATGCTATCTGATGACAGGCTTAGCTTGGAGACAGTAGAAGCTAGTGGCCTGCTAAGTTACTAGATGCCAAAGGTTTTTAACCTATTAGTCACGGGATACTACGATACAGAGGTGGACAAGGAACAGCTAGCAACTCAGGTGGCTAAAGTGGGCCCGAGATAAGCTAATCAGCTCCTGGCAGCTTTCCAACCTCTCCGCATCCCTGTAGTTTTTATCAGACAGAACTTCTCTCCAGGAATTCCCCTTGAAAATGTCATCAGTTCACAAGCCTATTAAAAATCTCCCAGTTAAGCTGAGCGGTGATGGTGTACATCTTTAGGGAGGCAGAGGCAGGCGGATCTCTGAGTTCAAGGCCAGCCTGGTCTACGGAGTGAGTTCCAGGATGACTACACAGAGAAACCCTGTCTTGAAAAACCAAAAACAACAATAAAAACCTCCAAGTTAAAACACACACCACCCCCCTCTCTCAGATGCCATCATCCCCCTCCAGTTACTGCCGCCAGTATGAGACACAAAGTGTAAGAGGACCATGACAAGGCTGCCTTCACCCAACCACATCTATCAACCCAGGACCTCTCAAGGCTTCAACTCAGGCTCCTGGTTGGTGCTGAGCATTTTTATGACACACCTAACAGGCTTCTCCAACCAGCCCAGCTGGATGTTTGCTCATCTGTTGGGTACCTCATACTGTACTAAGTCCTGGCTATGTGGTTCGTCTTTTAACAGAAGCTGTGTTGGAACGAAGAGTCTTTCTGAATCCATGTCTTCCTCATCCTCCTAAACCCATAAGCAAATCCTAATGTAATAGGCTGGCAAAAAACGAACATATTTTAAAGAGACAATTGTGTCTCTCAATCTGACTATCAGAGTATTGAAACAATGGACCCAAAGAGATGGGAATCTCCCCAGGAATCTCAAGCTGGGAAAAGGAAAAGAGCACTAGCCAGAGGGAACTTGTCTCCTAGAAAGAGGGTTCACGTGAGTCTAACAACTTGTTAGACCACCTTACAGGAGACTGAAGTCCAGTCAAGGATGGGTTAATGATGGGGCCACACCTGTGTTGCTTAAATAGGCAAATCTTCAGCCTTCTATTTAATTTCACTCCAGATTGGAGGTTCACTAGATCATCTATCCCAATGTGGCCACATTGAATAAATTTTCTTTCTGTACTTTCCACTTTTAATCTGGCCCTATTCAGACCTGGCTTGGGATACAGGTTGTGACCCCCATCTGTCAGCACTGACAGTTCTCCACAGTGACACCCTCTCGAGTGTAGTGTCATTCTCCATCGACACAGCCCCTCCAGGACCTTCTCACTCCCTCCTGCTCCTCATTCACCACCAACCAGTTAGGAAACAGAATGAGAAAACAGCGGGCTCCATTGAAAACTCTTCTGAATACTGGGTCCCGAAGGGTAAAGCACCTGCTAGGCATATGGGGGGCTCTGAGTTCTGGGAGAGTGAGGAAGAGCACTGCCAAACAAATCGCAGAAAACACCACCTCGCAAGTCCAGCTCCGACCGCCAAATGGGGCTCTGTGCTTCATTCTGCTGCCCCTTCCGCTCCACCCCTGACTCTGAATTGCTCTTCATCTTAAAGCTTCTGCTGCTTAAATGGCACCTTTCCCCTTCCTCATGCCCACCACAATCACAGAACTCCCATACCTGAGAGATTTCCCAAGGTAACTCGCTCTGTGCACCGAAGGTGACCTTCACAAAAGCCTTGTGCACTCCGTGGGCACCTGGTCACATACTGAGTGGGCCTCCAGAGATGCTCTGTTCCTGAATTCTTTGTTTGGTGTAACTTGCCTCCACCAGTACAGGTAGAGTAGGAGTCCTGTGTGGACCCTGAATGTAAGAGGCACAATCACCATGGGAAGTCATGGCAGGCACCCCCTGGGTGTCAAGCTAATTCACATAAGTGATGTTCTTGGGGGCTAGGCCCACGTCACTTGACTATTGACGCCTAACACACTGGGGTGGGCACAATGGGTCTCTTTCAGTATTTGCATCACACATGTACCCTTGAGTAGAACTCAATAGCGAGTAAACAGCCTATTTTTAGTTAATTTCCAAAGTAACGGAACACGCACCGTTCTGCACACCTTCCACTCTGGGGCCGAGAGGGAGAACAGTGGGGCAGTGTGTCCGAGCGGGGGCGGCAAGACTGGCTTTTTCCATTACCTGCCCTCCTGCTCCCCTCCTGCTCCACGGCAGACCCTCTTTCCACTCCCTCACAAGTTCCCATCTCCACCCCGGGAGGCTCAGCCATGCTTCTGAGGATGTTTCAAACGCCAGGGCCTAGCTGCAGGGCATGCTGCAGACATCCAGAGAGAAATGAGACCATCCACTGTTTCCACCTCATCTCCTCGGGGTGCCAACTCCAGTCCTTTCCTGTTTTCCTCTGGGGTGGCTCTGCCCAGGATGCGTAGTTTCCATAGGTCTGTGTGGGCAGAGGATGTGCATCACCAGCGGCTCCCAGCTGGGGGTAGGGAGGTAACTTCATGGACACACACCTGTGTTCCAGGCCTCTCTCCAGGCCTCACATATCCGACGGTGTTACTGACACCCGGAGGCCACCACTGAAGACCAGAATTACAACACTAACTAAATAGGGGTCAGGAGCCCATGTCCCAGTCACTGTGTTAGGGGCTGTGCTGCCCCACAAATCTTGACAGCACACACACCTGCTGGCCCTGACCTCTTTCTCAGGACACTGGTCTCAGATACGCAGGAAAAGAAGCAATTCCTACTTGGGTTTTTCATACTTCTATGGAAAAAACAAACCACTTATTTTACCTTTAGTCTCACACCATAGCCCTGAATTCTGGGACCCTAAAACTGTCAGCAGTGGACACCAGAAGGTCCTTTAATTCAGTTCAGCTATGACAATGTCTGCCTCAAGATGGCATCAAATCCCAAGGGTGGGGGCTCAATCTCCCAAGATGTCCCTACTTCAGTACAGATGCAAGCTCAGGCTGTGCCACCTCTGATGACCAGTACCTATAAAGAGGGTCCCAAAGACCCCTCTTTGAGTTGGCTTTCTCCCAGAAACTCATATTACTCAGAGAAACACTAACTTACATTTACTGTTTTATTACACAGGGTATAAAAAGATGCAAGAGGTCAAAGTATGAGAAGACCCTGCCCATGCGCTCCCTAGGCACCCTCTCTAAGATCCTCTGAATGAGTCCTCTAAGGATTTTCTGGACTTACTATTACAGGGGCAATGCTGACTAAACACTGGTCATTGATAACCTACTCAACATTCAGCCCTAGGGGCCGAGGGCTGGGTTGAAAGTCCCCACTCTCTGGTCCTGCTCATGTTTCAGTTACCAGCTCCACCTGGAATCCACCCTACTGGATGTCGGATGGTGTTGGGCAACTTATATGCAAAATGGCATTTATCAGCTCAAATAATCCAAGACTTTTAAGAACTGTATACCAAGAAGTAGATTAAAGATCTAAAAAGATATTTCCAAATATAACATACTGCCAGTGTAGGAAAAGAAGGAAAACTCCGGCAGAAGGAGGGGGGAACAGGAATCAAATGTACAAATTCATGTATGCCTGGAAAAACGGGCTTGATACCAGAAGATTTAATGATTGCACGTAGATGGAATTTTTTAATGACTTGGGGGTTTTATTGTTGTTGTTATTATATTCTGGCTTTTTTTTCTTTTTGAGACAAGTCTTGGTTTGTGGTTCATATTGTCCTAAGAACCCTTGGATCTTTCCACCTCAGCATCCCCAATGCTGGGATTAAGGCGTGCAGCACGTGTCTTGGCGTGGATATGTTTCTCTCCACTTGTATTTCTCTAAGAGCTGTCATCTCCTACCATGACCTAGCTGCAATAGAGTACTACACTTTGACCACAAGAAACACAGTGAGGTCCAAAACGGGCGAATTATATCAAACAATCCTTTGCCTCCTGTTTCTACTCTTGCCCGACCTAATCCACACACCACTGTATCTGAACCTCAGAATCTCCCGTTCTACCTCTAGGTAAATAACACAATCCTTGGAAAGATTCCTCGACCTATCCCGGAGACTCAGGAGCCTCACCACGCCCCGCGGATCCTCACCCTCCACCATCTCTTCAGGACTCCGTCATCCCCTAAGGTTTGGGACTCGTGTCCATCTCCTGTCTCAGTGGCGGGCTCGAGTACTGCGTAGCTGCGCGTTAGCAGTACCGCTCACCTGAGACAAGAGGAGCGCACAGGAGACGCAGTGGTAAGCGCCACTGGATCACCAAACACAGACGCCAGCCGCTGGGAAGCAGGTCCGCCACCGGGCGAGCGCTCTGCGCCTGCGCGAGAGGGCGGGCCCGCGTAGGGCGCACGCGCACATCCTAGGAGCGCCAAGGCTTGAGTTCCTGCTGGAAGGCTGCACCTCTGTTATCTGGTTCCGGGCTCTTTCACTGTGGTTTCTGCTCCAAACAGGTCTCGGGATTCTCGGCCTCCATTCCCCATTTAGAGTGTAGTGAGAAGCAGGGCTGGGCCTCCGGGGTCAGGTTCCCCGGTGGATGGATCGGGAGACTCGCACCTTTGCCGAGCGGCACTACCGGGACCTCGGGGGCCGAGTGCCTGGCTGCGGCGGGCCCGCACCCAGCAGTGTGACCTTCATTCAGTCGCCGGACGCCTTCTCGTACGCAGACTTCGTGAAGGGCTTCCTGCTGCCTAACCTGCCCTGCGTGTTTTCCAGCGCCTTCACCGAGAGTTGGGGCAGCCGGCGACGCTGGGTGACGTCAGCGGGGAAGCCTAACTTCGATTATCTGCTGCAGAAGTATGGTAGGGCGCCGGCGGCCTGCCTGGGGAAGTCGGAGCAGATGGGCGTAGACCCCGGGATGGGAGGGTGGCCTGGACAGGACAGACGAGTGGGATCTGGATAATTCTGGATAATTCGCCCAGAGGGTGGTAGGAGCCCAAGGGGGTGAACTACACTGATGACTCTGCCACTTCTGTGCCCACCCTCTCGCTGCAGGAGACGTGGTTGTACCGGTTGCCAATTGTGGAGTGCGGGAGTATAATTCAAATCCCAAGGAGCACATGCCCTTCCGTGACTACATCAGTTACTGGAAGGAGTACATACAAGGAGGCTGCTCCTCCCCGAGGGGCTGCCTCTACCTCAAGGACTGGCACCTGTGCAGGTAACGGGGCAGTCAGGCTGGTAGATGAGACTACAGCCCTTTCCCTAAACGGCGAGTGCAGGTCTCTTTGGTAGAGAATTCTAGGTCATTCCTCCTGCACTCGGAGAGGTTACCTCTCCAGCGAGTTCTAGTCTGTCTCAAAGCTGGTGGGAGGGAGCTTCCTGGGAAAGGTCACCACCCAGCCCACGTGGACTGTCATGAGGAAAGTAAGTGTTGTGTGGATTTTGATGGGTCCAGGTGGCGTCTTCTGTATAATGTCTGAGCAGGTTCCTCTCAGATCCTCTGGGGCTGTCCTCTCCATGACCCCACTCCATGGTTGTTCTGGGGATTCTTGCCATTGCCTGGCCCATTCTAGGTTCTCAAAAGAGCAAGTGCCCTTTCTACAACCGCTCTTGCCCCATTCTGAGAATCCCTTAAAGAGCACTCAACACCTGATTAGCCTCCGCTTCTCTCACACATCAAACTCGTGACAGTTTTACTTAGGAGATTTTGACTTCGTGATGGTGCAGGAGTGCAGAGCGTTTAGTAAACTTCGAGATTTGGATTTTGCTATTTTTTCAGGCTGGCCACACGTGGTCTGTTTCTTCCCCGTCCCTTTTCTCTTACCTTCTCTCTTTGTTCTCTCTCAGCATCGAGAAGCGATACCCCCACCCAGCCCATGGGTCTACTGAAATGATCACGCCTCTAGAGTATGCTCCTTTGCTATGATATGCTACCATGGCCGTGCATTTAGGCACACTGCTGCCCTTTTATTTTTGGAAGTGCTAATGCTAAGGTCTTGAGCATCTAAACACATGCTGTTAATGCATTTTTAAATTTATGGTATTTCCAACTTGGACACGTCAGTACATAAGATTGTTGCCAGAGTTTTGCCTGTACCTAAGACCTCCAGCCCACATGATGCTCACTTTGAGAACAACACCACTCCCTCCATGGTGGCCCTGGGACCACGTGCTTTCTCTGCCCAGTGTGCCTTTCACAAGCACAGACAGTTGTGTTCAGAACCCCAGCAGAAGGCACACTGAACAGTTGAATTCCTGTATCACTTGTGTGCAAAATAAGGCTCAGGACTGTAGAGTGGGATGGAATTCAGGCCCCCGCAATTTCCACAACTGACCAGATGCAAAAGAAACACCAGCCTCTGGCTACCCTGTCATTCTACTTGTTTGGGCAGAAAGCTGGCCTATGTAGGTAAAGTGTGACCAGACACTGGTCCTAGATCTGTATAATGTTTGAGCAGGTGCAGATGGACTCACAGGCCTAATACTGTCGTGTATTGAAATTTGAGATTTTAGGTAAACATTTCCATTGGGTTGTTTTGTTTTTTGTGTGGAGGAGGTAATGAATATTTCCCAACTATTATACTGGCATATTTATGCTAGAAAATTGATCATTGATGTTAATTCAATGTTTGCCTGTGCTTTTGTCTGGAAGACCCTGAAACCATAAGGGCAGAAGGAGGCATGGAGTTGCATAATCAGGAGGCCACAGGGGAAGTGATGCCTGAGCAGAGTTTAATAGTTTGCTGAGTGCTTAAAAGCAGACGATCCTGATGTTTGAACCTACAGATAATTTGTTATGGGACTCTGCCTATCTCCGTCTCTTATTAGGAGTTACAGGAACATGAATCTAGATGCTTTTTCCAGCATGATGTTGACGGAGTTGTGCCTTTTCTGAGGCTGATGTTAATATGATCCAGTGTTTGGGGACCCAGTGGTGGGTTTTGAGGCTCTCACACCTGGGGCTGTAGCCTGGATTTACCAGGTAGTGTTAAGCTCTCTGGTATTGGTGAAGAAAAGGAGGAGGAACTGGGATGCTGCTCAACATTTTTTTTAATATTTATTTATTTATTATATATACAATATTTTGTCTGTGTGTATGCCTAAAGGCCAGAACAGGGCACCAGGCCTCATTACAGATGGTTGTGAGCCACCATGTGGTTGCTGGGAATTGAACTCAGGACCTTTGGAAGAGCAGGCAATGCTCTTAACCACTGAGCCATCTCTCCAGCCCGCTGCTCAACATTTGTGCAAAGCCCCAGTGACCACGGCCAAGGTGGAGTGCCTAAGCACGGTACCCCCAAAGTCATTTTAACTTCAGCATTCTGAACCGAGCAACTTGAGGTTCAGCTCAGGTCCTCAGAATCTGCTGCAGTCAAGCAGTCCACCAGGACTGGGTGATCTTGGGTGGCCTAATTTGACGCAGGTGGGCCTGCTGGGATAGGGCACAGAGTAGATTAGCGCTATAACGCTCCTGTTCTTTCCTCAGAGACTCCTTGGTGGATGACTTGGAAGATATATTCACCCTGCCTGTGTACTTCTCATCAGACTGGCTGAACGAGTTCTGGGATGTCCTCAATGTGGATGACTACCGCTTTGTCTATGCGGGGCCCAGGGGCACCTGGTAAAGATGAGGTGGGAGGTGTGACCATCTGGGGCATCTGCCTAGAGGCCTATCAAAAAAGCCAGGGTCCACACAGGACTCCACAAGACACAAACCAGAAGCCCTTGCTGTAGGTCTCCCTTCCATGCGGACATCTTCCGCTCCTTCAGCTGGTCAGTGAACATCTGTGGGAGGAAGAAATGGTTGTTCTTCTCGCCAGGACAGGAGGAGGCCCTTCGTGACTGCCATGGTAACCTGCCCTATGATGTGACTGCCCCCGAACTCCTGGACACTCGCCTGTATCCCAGGATGCAGCACAGCAGTCTACCCCTTGAAGTCATACAGGAGGCTGGTGAGATGATATTTGTGCCCAGCGGATGGCACCATCAAGTGTACAACCTGGTAAGACTGCACATGACCCTGCTTCTGCCAGGCTCCCTTCCTCTACACCCTCAACTACCTCTGTAGAAAGAAAGCAGTACTACTCCCCTGCAAAGGCTGGACACAGAGCAGGAAAACCACAGTGAGACCACGGAGAGCTCATCCGCTTGCCCTGTTCTAACTTGGACCCTCCAGCTCTCATCCAGACATGTTAGCCCCATCATGAAATGGGGGTCAGCATTTCCTGGCTTCCAAGGCTGGGTGTCTGCTTTCTACCTCTGCTGTGACAAAGTACTCTAACACAAGCAACTCAGGGGAGAAAGGGTGTATTCCACGTTCATGGTTGTGGGGAAGCCAAGGCAGGAACTTCAGACACCAGTCACATCACAGCCAGTCAAGAACAGAGAGGCGAGTGCATACATGTTTACTTTCTCGTTTGTGCTCAGCTCAGTGTTCTGCTCTTCCACAGTTCAGGACCCTCTACTTAGGGAATGGTGGTGCTACCCACAGTGAGCTGGGTCCTCCCACATCAGTGAAGACAAGCTCCCCACAGACACGCCCACGGGCCAATCTAGTGTAGACAGTTCCTCACTGAGACTATCTTCTCAGATAAGTCTAGACTGTGTCAGGGTGACAGTTAAACTGTCACACCCACCGAAAGCACCAAGCCTGGTGGACGTGGAACGGGATTTGATTTGCCCACCAAAGGTGATGCCTGCTGATGCCTCATGGAGCTTTTCCTCTGCCTTCCAGGATGACACCATCTCCATCAACCACAACTGGGTCAATGGCTGCAACCTGGCTCTCATGTGGCGCTTCCTGCAGCAAGAACTCCAGGCAGTACAGCAGGAGGTCAGAGAGTGGAAGGACTCCATGTCTGACTGGCACCACCACTGCCAGGTGGGGTCAACCAGCCCAGGCTGAGCCAGCTGTGTCCAGTGTGGATGCCAGGGCCAGGCTTCATGACGCAGACCCCACTGACCACGCTCCTGGCTCTGTCCCTTTGCCTCCGGGTCCCGTCTTAACCCTGACACTTGGGTGTGTGGGAGGGATCTTTGTGCACCAGAGCAATCTGAGTCTGGATGTAACTCCCAGGCCTTACTTTCCTTTTCCTCTTGGCCCAGGTCATCATGAAGGCCTGCACGGGGATCAATTTTGAAGAATTTTACCATTTTCTCAAGGTCATCGCTGAAAAGAGGCTTCTTGTCCTGAGGCAAGGACTGAAGGGGGATACAGGGGCCAGCACAGGCCTCGGGCTGGGCCTGCAGCAGGCTGCATTTGATGTTGGCCGCCTTGCAGATGTGCTGGCCTCTGTGGTTGCACATCCTGACTTTCAAAGAGTGGACACGAGCGCATTCTCCCCACAGCCAGAGGCGCTGCTTCAGCAGCTGGAGGACTCTGTGGCTGCTGCCGAGGCCCTGTAATGCTCCACAGGTCGTGATGCAGGAAGAGTTCTGGAGGCAGCCTCTTGCCCTGGGGCCCTTCTGAAGTACAAGCTACCCTTCCTTGAGGCTTAGGATGTGCCCCAAGGCTGTGCAGGTGCAGTTCTGCAGGGTGGGCAGACATAGTTTTGCCCATCAAGTGCTGTTTTCCAGCATCTAGGCCCTGAATCTTGAGGAAGGTCCAGCCATAATGGGAGTTTAACTCACGGGGGCTAGAGGGATGTTCACCCATTTGGCCTGTGGCCTGCCAAGAACTTGAATTGAGTAGTGATCATGAAGCCAGGTTTCCCTGGAGCCTTCTAGCCTCTCCTAGAGATCCTAGAACTCTGGGTAAGGCCTCCTGGAGATGTTTTTGGAAGAGCCACTTGAGGCTTAGAGCACTGACTTCAAGGCACAAATGGAGGTGCCCTGCGGAGTGGCACTAATGCTAATTTACCCTGTGAGCTGCAGGTTCTACAGACCAGGTACGTGTAAGAACTTGGATGGGGGCAGGGGCACCTGTATCTCTGCCCTGCCTGCCCCACGGACTACTGGGGAGCTGCGGAAGCTCTGGCTAGGAGGATATCTCTTGGTGTTAGAGTAAATGGGAAGAAAAATTATTTATTTATTTATTTATTTATTAATGCCCTCAAGCTCTTTGCCAGCTAAACAACACCTCCTGTTTCAGAGTCTTTACCAGCAGCACTGTCCAGGGAGTCTCAAAACGTGACCAAGCACATAGGCTTGCCCAGGCTCTGCCTTTGAACGCCTGGGTCCTTTCCTATGTGGAGACACAAGTGGCCCAGCAACTTAATGGAGCATACTCCAGATTTGCAAAATTAAGAAAAGTTAACACCCTGGGCCATGTATGACAGACACTAGCAACTATTTCCTCCCATGACAGTTGTAACTAGAAATGATAGTTAAGTCCCCAGTCAGATTAACAAGCCAGGAGGGGGCACGTGTTACACAGCTCAGCGAGTAAAGGTGCTTGCTGTGCAAGTCTGTTGACCTGCGTCTGAAGCCTGGAATCCATAATTAAGATTGGCATATGGGCAAATCAGTAGAACATCTTGATTAATGATTGAGGTGGGAGGACCAACCCACTGGGGAAGGTACCACCCTGGGCAGGTAGAACTACAATGTCTAAGAAACCAAACTAAACAAGCTAAGAAGAGCAAGCCAGTGAGCAGTGTTCCTCTATGGCTTCTGTTTCAGTTGCTGCCTCCAGATTCCTGCCCTGTTTGAGTTCCTGTTACCTGGAAATGTAAAATGAAATAAACACATTCTTACCTGTGGTGGTTTGAATGAGAATGGGTGGTCCTTATAGATTCGTGTATTTGAATGCTTGGTCTCTAGTTGGTGGAACTGCAGGAAGGATCAAGAAGTACGGCTTTATTGGAGGAGGTGTTACTGGGGGTGGGCTTTGAGGGTTCAAAAGCCCATCCTATTTTCTGTTAGCTCTCTCTGCCTCCTACTTTTGGGAAAGGATATAAGCTCCAGCTCCATCCCTGCCTGCCACCATGCTCCCCACTATGATGTTCATGGACTCCAGCTCTCTGGAACTGTAAGCCCCAACAAATACTTTCTTTCAGAAGTCGCCTTGGTCATGGCATTTTGTCACATCAATAGAAAAAGAACTGAAATGCTCCCTAAGTTACTTTTGGTCAATATTTCATCACAACAATAGAAATTTAAGATAATCTATCTTAATTTCCGGGGAGGGGGTTGGGGGGCAGAAGCAGGTGGGTCTCTGAGTTTGAGGCCAGCCTGGTCTACAGTATGAGTTCTAGGAATCCCTTCCTTTTCTCCTAATAGCTTAAGATAAAATGAAATGTCTATTAATAGACAATAAAGGTGGGCTCTGACACTCTATCAATATGTAAAAACTATTTACTTTCCCAGAGCACTGAAACCATACAGATAGAGTCAATGTTGTGTGTCTTCCTCAATTGCTTCTCCCTTTTTCAGACAGGGTATCTCACTGAACTTGCAGTTTATGCAGTCAGCTAGTGGTTTGCTACAAACTCTAGAGATCTGCCTTTCTCTACCCCACTGGCACGGGATTACAGACCTGCATTGCCGTATCCGGTTTTTTATGAGTGCTGGGGATCTGAACTCAGGTCCTCATGCCTACATAGCAAGCACTTCGCCAATGAACTATTTTCCCAGCCCCAAGAAAGCAACATCTGGGCAAGGGATGTAAAGCACCTCAGTTGGTAGAGTTTGCCTAGTATACTTAAAGTCCTGGGTTTGACTCATAGTATTGAATAGATCAAGCATGATGGTGCCCATCTATAACCCCAGAAGTTTAAGCCCAGCTGGGCTACCTGAGACCCTATCTCAAAGGAAAAAAAAATCAAGACAAAAAAAATGATCTAGCATGGTGGCTCATGCCTTTAATCCCAGCATACAGGAAGATCTCTGTGAGTTCCATGCCAGCCTAGTCTACATAGTGAATTCCATGATAGCCAGGGCTATTTAGAGAGACCATGTCTTAAAAAACAAGCCCAACTGTTTGCTGCCTGTGAGAAACATACCCAGTGGGCAGATTCGGACAGGAAGAGTACGAATGATGGAGGGAAAGAATGGAACAAATGCAAACCTAAGCATGGGCAATAGAACGTGCCCATCATCAGGTTTGGTGCCTTCTCGCTGAGGAGACTAGGAAGGTTTCGCTTTTCTCTCCTGCTTCTCAGTGCTGGAGTTCACGAGGCATGACAGGTGAGCGATGAGTCACTCTCCGTCGGATCCACAAGACAAAGTGTTATATGGGGTCAGGTCCAGCCTTGTCATCTAAGGCATGCAAGCTCAGACAATGAATGACCTCGTGAGGCCGAAATTATACAAGTGCAATGGGGGAGAATATGGGAGCTGCCTTCCAGTCATGTTGACTCACCCACAGACCACACCCAGCTAGCTGCTTCTTCACACCAGGCATGATCTGCCAATGCGTGTGTGGGAAATTCCCAAGAAGTGGCTGCATTTCTACCAAACCTCTGAGGAACTGAGACTGGAAAAAACAACCAAACAATCTAAGAGGAAGCAGACAGTGAGTGATCCTCTACACCCTGCCACACCAGTGTTCTGTTCCAGCTCCTACCCATCTCTACAAAGGTTGTCTAACTTTTCCTCCCAAGAGTCCAACCACAGCTCCCAAGTAGAAGTCTCTGTGCTTTCCCATCGTATAGGCTCAACTTTGCAAATCTGTGTCTTAGCCACAGCCAGATTTATATACCCATACTGATTCTTAGGGTGGTCTCTTACTTAGCTGGTGAAGAGGAAAGGCAACTGAGACATGGAGAAATAAATACGTAGGTGTCTGTGACCCCCAAATCTACCGGGTTTGATAGTAAAGCTGTGGCAGAAGAGTAGAGCTTGCGCATATGAACTGTAGTATACAAATTAGTAAATATAAGAAAAGTGATAAACAACCCAGGAAAAAAATTCAGGGAAAGCCCACCCCAACTGAAGCTTAAGCAACTTAGAAGAGCACACTGCATAAATAATATAGGAAGATCCCAATGTGCTGGAGAGCGGTAACATTCAGCCTGACCTTTCCCCAGCTATGGCCCACCTCCCTTCTGACTTTCTAAACTTTCTCTGCTTGTGTCCCTGTACAGTTCCTTGTAGGGTGCCCTCTAGATCCCAATCTTTGCCTACAACTGAGCCCAGCCTGTGTGTTTTCATCTTTGCTTGATGTCAGCAGGGTCCATGAGTATCCTAACAGTCTAGACCACAGCAGTTCATAAAGAGTTGTATGATTATGTAGTGAACACAGGCATCCAAAGGTGTGTGGATTCTCAGACATCAAGAGCGGGAATAATGACAGATATTTTGGTGGCAACTATCATTAGCTGTGCTACAGGATACTGAAAACTATCCCAAGTCTTCCCCAAGGACAAACATAGGTGATGCCATGAGCTGATGCTTTCAGGCATGTGAAGACCTTCCATGGGACCAAGATAAATGCAGGAGAGGTAGGTGATTGTGGCACCACTGGCCAAAGTTTTGATGTCACAGGATGCCATGGAACCAGGTCTTATGAGACAAGGCTGTAGTGTGTGACATGGTAATTCCAGAATCTAGGTTCTGAAACACAAAGGGTACCTTCCTTAGGTGTGAGATGAAGTAGGTACTGGGGCATGTAGCACTTTAACCACTTTTTGTGGGTATGAAACCTAGATGAGGTCCTCTGGAAGCCTCATAGTATAAGCCCAAGTAGTGCCAGGACTTTTTTTCAGAATCTCTTTAAGTTTCTCTAAAAACTATGGGACATGTAAAGGATGCATCTGGATTTATGATTTTGGTGTCCAATCTCTTGTAGGAGTAAAATGAGAGACCTTCTTACATCCCTTGAGTAAAGATGGTGCTAGGCCTTAAAACTTTAGTATGTGCAATACTACAGGATGTGGATAGGGATGTCTATAGATCATATATTGGTGGTCATGTGGGAACCTGAACTAAAGCTTTGCTAGCCATATGCCCAGAGCTGCAGAATAGGGCTTTCGGGAATCTGCAGGAACAAGAATGGGTGACACTGAAGTTTGTATATATGTATATGTGTGTATATATATATATATATATACATACATGGAACTCCATATGTAAACCAGGCAGCAGGCTGACCTCAAACTCACAGAGACCCTCCTGTCTCTGCCTCTCCAGTTTTGGAATTAAAGGTGGATACCACCGCACCCAGTTGATGCTGAGGATTTGATATCAGATGCAGTCCCAAGGCCATGATTTCTACCCTTGATAAGAGCTGATGCTGAATATTGGGGACCCTGGTAACCATGTTCCTGAAGCAAGAAGTAGCTGGGGGTGGGGGGTGGTGTAGGCAACTGAAATGCTTTATTCTACGCACTGATAAGATTTCAATAGCAACCAATGTAGTAAAATAGTGGTTACATAAATTTTAATTACATACCATATAAACTAGTTATATAATATATACTACTCATGTACAAACTATACTGTATCCTACAGATACACATATACACATGCATACACTGTATGTACTAAATAATACTATATTATTCCAAGATACACAAATCTCTTTGAATACAATTGTAAAAAGTCTCAACAAAATACTACAAAATTGTATCTAATATAAAAAGACACATTCCATGCTTTAACCCAAAAAAGCCAAGTTTTCACATTGTAAAGTCAATGCAATGCATATCCACCTTCAGTGCGCGTTATCATGTACCTTTCCATGAGAAATGAAGCTGGGAGACTTTCTGCGTGCCCAACAGTCTTTTCCTAAAAGAGTTCTTTCGTGTCTTCAGTTTTTCCATTTTCGAGTGAAAATGGAAAAACTGAAGGCCTTCTGACATTTCTTACACTCAACCTTTCCTCCAGAATTCTTCCAAGGTTTTCAAAAACTGAAAACCTAACCACATTATCAAAAGCTCCAGACTTTCCCCCTCTATTTGATGTCTTTAAAGAAAACTGAAAAACTGAATGCTTCTCCCACATTCCTATTCAGTTTTATCTGGTACATATTCTTTGATATAATCTAAAAGAACTGGGGCATCTAAAGTCTCAACCATTTTTCTCACATACACAGGGTTATTATCCAGTGTGAATTTTCTGTGTCCTTTAAAAGAACCAAGAAAACTCTGTTTTTCATATTCCTAACAATCGCTTTCTGATGATTTGTTGTCCAATGAGTATTTTAGTTTCTTTGAAGGCAAATGGGAAAATGTGATATTTCATATTTATTTGTACTCAAAGGATGTTTCTCCAGTACAAGTTCATTTATGTTTACAACGGCAATTTTAATAGGTGATTGATTTTCCATTGCTTTCATTAGGAGGGATACTCTCCAGCCTAACTTCCTTTATGCTTCTGAGACTACCTGAAAGAAAGATTTGCCACATTGTTTCCATTCACCTTGTTTCTTTCCTGCATGAGTTATCTGCTATGTTCTAAACAGAACGGGACTGTGAAAGGCTTTTGACATACCTCCCATTTAAAAGGCCCATTTACAGTGTGCTTTACCATTTTTATTTAAAAACCCGCAAGAAACTGAGGATTTGCCAGAATTTACATTTATAAGACTACTTAGTAATCAATTTCAACTGGAAGTGAAGGCTTTCCCACATTATATTCACAGGGTTTCTCCCCAGTGTGAGTTTGTTCATGTTTTCGAATAGAGGTGGACCGGCTGAACGCTCTATCACACTGTTGACACTTATAGGGCTTTTCTCCAGTATGGATTCTTTCATGTATCTGAAGAGAACTGGAAGCACCAAACCACTTGCCACACTGC